AATATAATGCTTGGATGATGATCAAAGCCTTGTGCGTGGGGACCAGAGCCAACAAACTCTGCTGTGTGGGGAAAAAGTAGTGATAATAAGGTGATCATTATATTTTCAGGAAATTCTCTTCCTGGGCGCAGTCAGTTTCTGTTTCAAAGGACTTTCTCTCCTATTCTGCTTGGCTGACCTCAAAGTTGCCAGAATAGAAAAAATAGAGTAGCTCTCTTTTATTGAAGTCCCACAGTGAAGTACAGTACTTCTCTCCCCAGTGTTGCTTTGGTTTCTGTGCAAAATTGAGCTATTATATTCATCTTCTGTGTGTCTCTGTTATGGCATCAATTATATAAAAAAATGTTGAGGCTAAATTCTTTCTGTGTTGGAAAAATTGAAACTTATACATTATACAGTTTGGATATCTGCTGAATGTTTTTGGTGTGGAATTTTCTTCCTTTGGACTTATCAATTGCCAAAATGTTTGAAAAGTTGAGAATAAATTTGACCAATTTGTTTCATCCCAAAGTCTTGAAAAATAATTTTCAAGGAGGACAATAATCATTACATTTTTGGTGGAAACTTGTTTTACACTGCCAATATCCTCTTGCCCTGGCAAATTATAGTATATGGTGTCATGATGGTGAAATTTCTTTGTCTTTGAGCCTAGTTCTGGTGGGACAAGATTGAGAGAAGGGGTATTAAAATAACTGTTGATGAAATCATGTATGATTAGGCCTATTTAATTTTGAATTTCTATCCTATTTATTACATTATTTTCATGTATGCTTTTGTTTTTGTGGAAAATAGGATGAGAAAAACTGTAATTGTGGTTGTCCTGATGAATTTATTTATATCTTGCCAAGCTGCTCCTGAAGTGATCCTGCAGCCTGGACCTTGTGAAGAAAAGAGCACCAAGAGTGAATTTGACATGTCCAAGGTCAAATATTCCTAGTTGTTTCCAGCATGATGGCATCTTATGCTGTGTTGAGAGTTTGTGGAACAAAATGGGAGTGTTTCTTCTTTTCAGTATTCTGGGCTTTGGTATGAAATCAAGAGGTACCCCAACTTCTTTGAGAAAGACTTGGAATGTGTTCAAGCCTTCTATGG